TTTGGGGTTTGGGGTTTTGGGCTTTGGCTTTGGGATTCGGGGTTTAGGGTTTCGGATTTTGGGTTTGGGGTTTAGGGTTTTGGGCTTTGGCTTTGGGATTCGGGGTTTAGGGTTTCGGATTTTGGGTTTGGGGTTTAGGGTTTTGGGCTCTGGTTTTGGGATTTTGGGTTTAGGGTTTCGGATTTTGGGTTTGGGGTTTGGGGTTTTGGGCTCTGGTTTTGGGATTTTGGGTTTAGGGTTTCGGATTTTGGGTTTGGGGTTTTGGGCTTTGGCTTTGGGATTCGGGGTTTAGGGTTTCGGATTTTTGGGTTTAGGGTTTGGGGTTTTGGGCTTTGGCTTTGGGATTCGGGGTTTAGGGTTTCGGATTTTGGGGTTAGGGTTTAGGGTTTTGGGCTTTGGGATTCAGGGTTAGGTTCTAGGGTTTAGGGTTTTGGGCTTTGGGTGTGCGGCTTAGAGTTTAGGGCTGCGTATACGAAGAGCTGCAGCCCTCAAAGCGCCTTGCCGGCGTGCGTCCTCCTTACCCCACGCCGGTTCGAGCACGGAAGAGCTGCTCTGCGGGATGCAGTCCAACCGGATGTGGAAACACACGGGCAGTTTTAGGGTTTAGGGGGTAGGGCTTTAGGGTTTTATGGTTTAGGGTTTTAAGGTTTAGGGTTTAGGGTTTTAGGGTTTTAGGGTTTTAGGGTTTTAGGGTTTAGGGCTTTAGAGTTTAGGGTTTAGGGTTTAGGGTTTAGGGGTTTGTAGGGGTTTAGGGGTTTAGGGTTCAGGGTTTAGGGATTTAGGCTTCAGAGTTTCGGGTATAGGGTGTATAGGGGTTTAGGATTTAGGGTCTTTATAGGGTATAGGGGATTAAGGAATCCTTTCAATTTGGAGCGGCTGGCAAGCTGTTACGATCCTACTGTCAGGGTTCGGGGCTCTCAGCGAAATCAAGTTTGATGATTCCTTGCTCTGGTTTCCTTTACAATTTACGGGTCTGACCAGGCTGTAGCTCCCTAAGAGCAGGATCTTTCCAGCAAGGATTTACGGAGCTGCTTCAGGTTGTTATGATAGTGGGGCTCCTACTCCCTAAACCCTAAACCCTGAAACCCCAAATCCTAAATCTTGAAACCCTAAACCCTAAACCCTAAAACCCGAAACCCTAAACCCTAAAACCCTAAAACCCTAAACCCTGAACTTACGTCTCTATCAGGGTTTGGGGCTCTCTCCTCGGGGCTTTAGAATGAGGTTCTTTATCAAGGGTTAGCTTGGGAGCAAAGGAGTGAGGAGAGTAGAACAACAGTCGCTTTGGTAGGGTTTATAAAACCTCAAACTACCCCCTGAACCCTAAACTTACACCCTCAACCCTCACCCTAAACTCTACACCTTCAAAAGCCTCTCATCCCATGGGCCTAGCGCTTCGAACTGTTGGTGAGAGGTTTAGGGTTTAGGGTTTCTG